AAATATTATTTTAACTTGGAAAGGTGGTTTAATAAAAAAAAAAAGGGTAAATTAATATGAGAAAAATAGTAAACTCCAGTGAATTTAAGATAACTTTTATCATCTTTGGAATAAGTTATGTACTTAATTAATTGCTTAAATAATGCAAATAAAAATCTGTTTATCTATCTTGTTTACAGTTCTGTAGATTTAATACAGAGACAAAGGTGAGGATCTCCCTCTTGGTGAGAGGTTCCATCTAATTAGTCATGATATGCATTTTAATATTTTAATATCAAATAGAACATAGATTATAATAAATATAAGAAAATTAAAATTGGAAATGGATAGAAATTAATATAGCCAAAATTTGTTGCAATCAAAGAGGTCAAGTTTCAATCTTCAAATATTTGGCATTATACTGTTTTTTTTTTTTATATATAAATAATGACAAATTCAACTATAAAAGGACACTGCCAAGCATGGCATCCACAAAAATAAATTAAAAACCTCTCTTCTGTGGCCGGATAGCAAACCTTTAGTCATTAAGTTAAGCTGGTTTTGTCGAGTACATGAGAGTATTTACCACATTTGTGCAATTACTTTGGTCTATTGAGTTTGTAGGGTTTCGTGACCTTGAGATAAGTTTTAATATAGGTTGGATAATCGGTACTTACAAAAAAAAAAAAAAATAATTGAAAATGAAAATAAATAAATATGAAAAGCTATAATTATATAGTATAGCTAATCTGAACTGGCATCAATTTGCTTGTAAATATATATGTTTTCAGAGACTTGAGTGTGGCCGACAGAGTCGTCTTTAGATATGATTAGTGAAATTGTTAATTATAATTAATATATACTTTGATTGACAATTTAGACTATGATTTTGTAGTGAATATATATTATTATAAGATGGATGGATCTGCCCCTGATATATGGGGATCTGTATTCATATACTCATCCATGCATGTTGATTGACTTCCATAGACGACAACTTATACAGTTATTATTACAAGTAATACTAAAAGACAGTAATTTAACAAGTTTATACGATAGTCATGTGTTAACCTAATAGATAATCAATACTGCATTTGTAAGTATGAATGCAATACAACCTTTTGAAAGGGGAAGTGTAGAGCGTTAGAAGTCGTTCTTATAGTTGACGATGAAGAAGGTCATTAAGCCATCCTGCACAAGCTGGGCGAAGCTAGAGTCGTTCCTGATGAGTCCATGGTAGGAAGAAACCAGTAGACATGAGCCGAGAAGGCATACTTGTAGCCCGTGTGATGTTGGAGTGTCACGACTTTATAGCGTACGAGGTTGAAAGTACGACTATTCCTTGGCACATTGGGAATTGTGTTTTACAGGTTTCATGTTACGATTTACAAGTTTTTTCATTGATATATTCATAGTATAACTATCAACGTATAGTAATAAAAGGGTTTGACCTGAACTGAAATCATCATTAAATGAATAATTTTTTTTTTATTTTTTGAGGGGTTATAATAAGCTCTTTAAGAAGGCAAGATTGTTCATGATTAGTGATAGAATTGCATATAAAATTTTTAAATAATATGAAAAAAATATGCTTCAGAATGGAAAGTGAGGCCGTGATGAGATAATATAATAAAGAGGATGAATCTTACAAAATTTGAACGTTTTAATTGTTTATTTATTGTTTTTAAAAAGTGCTTTTGGGGTAGAATCGCTTTTGCAAGTCATTGGTTTGTAAATAAATAAATACTTCTGGGGTTTTGGTTTCGCTTTTCTCCTTTTATCCAGGGCAGGGTTGCACGTATTATTGAAAAAAGCAACTTTCAAAGGAGAAGGGAAAGATTCTTTTGTCCCAAAATGAGATACTAATAATCTTTACACTTCAACAACAAAAAAAAACAATCATGATTTAACTAAAGTTATTTTGCTTTAAACACCCATCATTATTTCAGTTAAAAAAAAAAAAAAAAATTGAAAAAAAAATAAAGCGGGATTCTCTCGTAAATACCTTGAAGTGTCTGAAAATTTAGATATTATAAGAGTTTACGTTAATGACAATAAAACTGTTAGATTTAAATATTAATGTTTCTTATAAATTTATTGAAAAAAAAAAATTAAAGTGGGATTCTCTTGTAAGTACCTTGAAGTGTCTGAAAATTTAGATATTATAGGAGTATTACGTTGATGATCAACAAAACTGTTAGAGTTAAATATCAATGCTAGTGTATCCTATAACTTTATTGAAAAAGAAAAATGAAGCGGGATTCTCTCATAAGTACCTTGAAGTGTATGAAAATTTAGAATATTATATGAGTATTACGTTAATGATTCAACAAAATTGTTAGAGTTAAATATTATAGTTCAGTGTATATCTAATACTTGATTGAAAAAAAAAAAAAAAAATCGAAGCGAGATTCTCTTGTAAATACCTTGAAGTATCTAAAAATTTAGAATATTATAATAGTATTACGTTAATGATTCAACAAAATCGTTAAGAGTTAAATATCAATGTTTAGTGTATATCCTATAACTTTATTGAAAAAAAAAAATAGAAGTAAGACTCTCGTAAGTACCTTAAAGTATTTGAAAAAATAGATTATTATAAGAGTATTACTATAATAATTCAATAATACTATTAGACTTAAATATCAATGTTTAGTGTATATCCCATAACTTTATTTAATAAATAAATAAATAAAAGTGACAAAAGGTATACCCCAAAGACCTTTTTTTTATGATAGATAGCGATTTAGTCGACTAGACTAACTATACTGCGTCCACATGTATGTATATATCCAAAATGTTTGAAGATTATCAGGAATATGACGTTAATGATTCAACAAAACTGTTAGAGTTAAATATCATTGTATAGTGTATAGTATATCCCATAACTTAATTAAAAAAAAAAAAAAAAAAAGGCGATAACAGGTAAAACCCAGAAGACCCTTTTTTACTATGGATAGCGATTTATTCGACTAGACTAACTATACTACATCCACATGTATGTATATATCGAACGAAGACAACATGGTTGTTATCAATAATTGACATGGCATTTTGGTCATTGATTTACAAGATGTTTGAAGAACATTAGTGAGAGAATGACAATTGGCCCCAATTGAAGTTGCTATAGATTGATGGAGCCAGCAACAAAAGTAATTATCATCACTCACTTGATAAATAAAAAGCCTAAGATGAAAAAGAAACTTTATGATGCTAACCCTTTTCCTTTTTGAAATTTCCTGGAAATATCATTGAATTTTTTTTTCAAAATGAATGGACATTGACAAGAAAGAAATATATATATTTCAAACTTATTAAAATAAAAAAATGAAAAAAATCAAGATTATGATTTGACAATACCCACATCATAAAAAATATAATTTTCAGAGTTCAAATTAAAGCATGAATCCATCTTTTACATGAACCACTTGGTCTGTGTTCAGATGATAAGACTGTAAGTTACCCAAAGATTTTGTGCTTAAGTCGCAAAAAGAGATCATCTATTACATTTGTGACTCACCTAACTCGTTAGGCTTATAGGAGTTGCCCACCTCAAAAAATAAATAAGTAAATAAATTTCTAGGGTTCAAGTTAAAGGAAGTATGAATGCACGTAACAACTTGGCTTGTAGTCGGATGAAAACACCTTAGATTACCTAAAGATCTTGTGTTCGAGTCCCACAAAGTAGTTACCTATCATATATATGACTTAAATGACTCATTGGACAAGACGGATGTTCGGATTAGCTTGGACACACTGATCACCCAAAAAAGAAAAAAAGTATGAATGCATGTGACACATGTTACCACTAAGTCAAGTTCCAATAGTTGATTTCTTTTATGATAATTATTAATTATTGCCAATTTTGAAAAAGGAAAGGAAAAAAAATGGAGATATATCTTGTCAATCATTCATGGAGGGAGACAAAAAGAGAAGGGTTAATAATTATTAATTTGGTAAGGCAAAAGAAGAAAGGAGTTAACATGATCAAGATATCTACAATTGGCTTCACTTTTTATTATTGGCTAGAAGAAATTAATTTCTTTTAGACAATTATAATAATAATAATAATAATAATGATAATAGTGTGTTGTTATGATCTTAAGTACTTTTCATAAAGCCACTAATCAAACTGTTTTAATAAAAAGTTAACAGTTTAAATTCACTGGAGATTGCATTAGAAACTGAGTTTCTTTGGCATTTTTTGTGTTTAAAAGAGAGAGAAAATCCTAAGATGATCTAACATACAGGAATTCGGAAGAAAGTATATCTGATTGAAATGTTTTTAAGAACAATTCATATGTAATTTGAAAACTGATATATAAATCACGAGAAGAAAAGTGGTCTTGTTTCCTTTTTATGAATAATTTTAACTTTTGAATCAGTTTTTAAATATTATATTAAAACATGGGGTTAATAGAGAACGAGTTTGAATAATTAAACTAAGAGGAAAGACTAGCGTTTTAGGTGATTTCACATGTTCATTTACAAAACCAAGATCAAACCAATGTTTATTTGAAGTCAGATATAACACCAGCAATCAATAGTGTTTCTTATGGACATTATTTGGAATGGAATTGTTAGTCAGTGAGGTTTTTTGTAGGACATTTAAAGGTACAAATGATCATCTAAGACCAGAGACTGTTTCTAGAAAAGCTCAGCTTACAAAGAATCAAGAGAAAATCATCGAAGTAATGGCTCCAATCATTCATAGTCTCAGATTGTTAGCAGGAGAAACATGCCATGATTCCATTTTCAAGGACTTCCATTGGCATATACAAAGTTGAAGGGCTATTCAAATACAGCAAAAACACCCTTCAGATTCTTTGACTTGTTTCAAATGGACAGAATGCTAAACTAATTAACCGAAGTTGGTGTTTCAGTAGTTGATTCAAGAGGGAAGGTTCTGTTTAATATGGATTTGTAGTTCACCTGGACCTTAAACCAATGTAGAAAGTGCATATAATAGCACCGAATTATCATTAAAACTTCCATAAATTACTGAGTTGAAATAATCACCAGCCATCTTACACTTGTTCTGCACTTCTGCTATCTGGAGAACTCACAAAAGACAATGACTGTCATATACGTTTTGTGTTAGTAAGTTCACACACACCACACCAAAATCAGAATCAAGGCGATTGCTTCATTATCATATAAGAGACATCTAGATGGATTACATGTATAACATCTTACTTAAACACACCACAATTTTAATGCAAAGTGATGCTTCATATAATTTTTTTTTTCATGAGAAAGAAAAAAGAAAAAGACAACGCTGGTACTCTCTGGCTAAAATGGTTGTTGGCACTGTGACAAGTGGCTAGTTTGGATGGTGAGGATTGTTGCAAACTAGTATATACATATGTTTGAAGAGGAGGTTGTCTTCTGTAGCATACTTGGTGAAAGCATTGATGAAAGAGCCCCGTATCAGTATCTCTCGGTTAGCAGTAAATACAGGCAGGAAAACTTTCAGAAAGATAATGGCTGCTCCAAGATTACTCCAAAAATATCAGGATTGAGTGTCAAGCCCGATCAATGATCTTCAAAGATCGAATAATCAAGCTAATAAGCAGCTTTAGAAATTTCCTAGAAGATATGGAGACTTCTCTTCACATTGGTCAATAGGATTACTAGTGATATCTTTGTTAACAATAAAAGTCTCATTCACCTCCTCCTCTTTCTTCAAATCCGCAATACCTGTGCCAGAAGTACTGCGTTTAGATGATCCCTTGACTCTGCTACGAGCCCTGCGGGAAGGCGTTGAGAATGGGATTTCTCGGCTGTGAAATTCTTTGCTTTTCTCTTTCTTATTAATGCTCAAGAACCCACAAGCGAGGGCTTCCAATGCTTTAGCAGTCAATGGTCGGTTTCTAGTGCTTTGCCTCCTGGGCTCAACATCAACAGAGGCTTTCTGTGCCTCAAGATTATGCTCGTTCTCATGTAAGAATAAACCATTTGCATTTGTACCTTGACCATCTTCCACCTCCATCTTTACTAGTTCACCATTTTCAGAGTCCAGTGGGATGTGAGAGTGGTTCAGATCAATTGATAAAGGATTTTGTTGGTTCTCATTTTTCACCTGAGACATCTCCTTGCCAAAACAACTTCCATTGTATATACCTCCACTGCTTTCCTCTTCTGGACCTCCTTCAGTAGAACAACTCAACAATGATATCTTCTCTAGCGAAGGACCCACTTGAGAAACATCATTGTAGTCAGCATCTGGCAAGCTAGATGCACAAAAGGGCTCTATTTTTGACCCCGGGTTACCTGAGAAGTTCTCAATGATACGGATTGTCTCTGTCTTTGCACAAGCTGTTAACCTCCTCCGTTTAATGAGGGGACCCAAATTATTTGTATTACCAGATTTTGCTCTTCGACTGAAATGGTGCTTTATAATCCTCTTTGACATCTTTTCTTCTGACTTATTAGCCTTCTGATCCTGGCAGATCTCCATTTTCTTTGCAGTGTCTGAGTTAAGTGCCTTTTCATTTGAACTAGCACCATCAAATGCAACATTGTAGATATTGGTAATCTTATCACCATTCAACAGTGAATTAGAAGCATCTGGCTCAGAATTCAACGGTCTTTCAGCAGCATTTGGCTCACTCTGATTCATTGAATCATCAGAGGAACTCTCTTCATCTACTCTAGGCAAACAGCTCATATAAGAGGAAGTTTTAGATTCAACTGGGCAGGACCTCAATGCTCTCATCTGTGATGATTTTCCTCCATGGAGTAAACTGGTATCCACAACCATGAACTTCATACAGTTTCGACTACCAGCACCAAATTTATCCTTGCTGTACTCAGAAATACCTGTTTTCTTCTCTACATTCAATGGAATATTAGCAGCACCAAGCTTATGCTCATCCAGGAAATTCTCAAAGTACCCTTTATTTTCTCTTGAAAGACTAGTCGTTTTGGAAGAATTTTTAAAATCAACTGGTAAAAATCTCAATTCTCTCACCTTGGATGATTTTCCTCCATGGACCAAACTGGAATCTACAACCATGAACTTCATCTGCTCAGAATTGCAATTAGAAGTACGAGGTTTAAGGTAACAATGGGGCTGACGATTTGATGGATCATCCTGATCAGATAAATCTTCTGCAACCCACTGGTCTTCTCCATTGAAGCTGCTGACTCTAGATTCTTCAGCTTCAAGTTCAAGAAGTTTCGGTTCAGATGCCACTTTGCTCAAAATATCACTAACTGAATCAAAGTAGTGATCTCCTTTCACAAGTTTCCTTCTTGAGAACTTCTTAATTCCAGGCATAAGAAAAACCAGATAATCTTTGGAAGTGATGTAACCCTGATTCTTAGGTTGCTCAGAGTGCCATCCTCTTGCTAGCAAACGTGGCCAAACAGCTTCCCAGAAAATATCATTACACCGAGCTTTGCTTAATCGGAAGCCTCCAGTTAAAAACTTGATTATGTCACTGGATGTGAGTGAGGAGCAAGCTTTGCCACAAGGCATTTTGGGACAAACAGGAAACACTTGATTAATCTTCACAGGCTCCATGGAAAGGCTTGTGAGATCCTCTTTCCCCTTACCAATGCCTACAGATTCTATGAGAGCACTAAGTCCAACAGTAGCCTTCAAATAGGAGACATAAATGTCGAGTGAAGTTCTTCCCTCTGCAAATGACTTGGAAGCCTGCTAAGAGATAAGAACTAAGATGAGAGATTGGAAAAAGAAAAATGATGTCAAAACAAGAAATATTAATTTAGCTGTGCATATCCGCAGAAGAGTAATGACTGTAAGCAAAATCTGATAAAAATGATGACATGTAAAATTAAGCTATTTTCCTAGAATTCACAAAATTTCTCTCCTCACCTCTATTACATTCTTAATGCTGATTTTTCCTATAGATAAAATACCTTCCCAGAGTCAGCTTCAAGGAGTGTATGCAAAAGAGTTTTGTCATCATGTGTAAAGTTTACAACATTCTTGTAACCCATTGCATAACATTAAAGACTTCTTTATTACAGCTGTCCTATTTTTCTACCAATTTTAGTAATCCACGATTCCAATATCATGATAAACGATCTAGCAAGAAAATTAGAGTAGGATCGTAAATATAAAGAGTGAAAAATTATAGCTGCAAATCAGCACTAAAACAAAACCAAGACGGTTAATTTAGGCATATATTACAGATAAGTAGGCATCTTTCAACTCATTTGAAAAAAGATATATCACCAGTGACTAGAAACAAAATAAAATCCAACATATATACAAATGCAGTACCTCCAACAAAGAGTTATGAGATTCCTCTGGAACACGTGTAAGCAAACGAGACACCAATTCTTGCTGCCTCCACCCAGTAAAAATTTTTCCCGTCCGTATACACATTTCCTACTTCTTGGTTTCCGGCAATCTGTCCCCCAGGGGTTCATTAGACCTATAAAATTCCCCTAGTAATATGACAAATATCCCCCATCTCTTTGGTCTCCAAGATTTTTTTATCTGAAAAAAGTTTTTCCCGAATATAATATAACCAAAGAAAATTTCCTTTTCAGCATCGCTCCACAAGTCTCCTAGCAAACCAGAACTGGAGAATAACTTTGCATTTACAAAGGCTATCCAATTAGTTCTTCCTGCAATCTTTGCTTCTAAGTTTTCTGGTTTTGATTCTTTTCTGGCTTTCAATCTTACGCACAACACCTGAAGCATTGAGTTTTGGACCTCTCCTCCCTATTTAATTTGACCCTTTTTGCTCTTTTTACATTTGAAAGACTCATCTGTACGAGCAGCTCATCAATATTATTTATTTCATCATGAAGCCACGCAATGAATGCAAACCCATTAGAAAGAATGGAAACATCAAACATGACATTTGAATCAGTAGGTTCATTAAAAGCTGAATATACTCGGTTCCTGTTATCATGGGAGGAATATTCACTTGGACTCATCTCCAATTCGGGTTCACCTGCTGATCTCCAAATAAGTCACTTTTAGAGGAAAATCTGGAGGAGATAACTCATGAAGAGATGTTTCTTCAGTGGACTTGCCATTGTAAATCTGGATGATCAGATTCCATCTGCCAAAACAATAGACCAGGAAACATGGCGCAAAAAATCATAACGCAAAAGGAATAGAAGCAGAAATGGCATGCTTAACGCATATTTGACAAACTTTTGGAAATGTTATGAATCAGCCATTAAAACAGAAAGAAACAAAAGACTACATGAATGAGCAATTAGAGTATGACATGGAAGCGCAACCATCTCAAAGGTTAACTCATAACTGTGGCTTAAATCTAAGAATTCATGACAGATATGAATCAAATCCCAATTTGTCAAAGATTCAAATCAATTCAGCATAAAATGCATTGAAAGAAATCAAATACATAAGAATGATGGAAGTATTGGAAACCTAGAACAAGACAGAGTGAGAACTGCAGTCTGACACTTCCAGATGTTAGAAGAATGGCTATCGAAAATACCAACAAAAAGCAACACAACCACGAACTTGCAATGATATGCTAAATACTCTTCAGTTCACTCCTCCATGCAAACAGTAAAAGGCAACCTCAAGCAACAACAAACTTGCTTAACAACCAAACTCCAAACCAAAAATGAAAACCTAGAAGAAAGCATAATCTTCTCTTGCGCCAGATAGAGAACTAGCTTAATCTATAACCACAAGCATTTATCCAGAACAACCACATTGACATACCAAGTGAACCACAAACCAAACCCCACAGGGAATACCCACAATCATCAATTTCATAATAATAAATTCCGCACTCTTTTCTCTGTACAAGCCACAAACACAATCCCATAAACCACAATACACTGATCGCAGCAAAATCAACATACAAATATATAAACCCAAAGAAGAAAAGAAAAGAAAACTAAACATTATGCGAGTTCGAAAAAAACCATACTGTAAAAAGATTACTAACCCCAGATCATTTTCACACAAAACCAATATCAAAGCTCTCAACATAGACCAAACCAAGAATCAGAACAACAACAAAATCTAACGAACCGAATCATGAACAACACGAAGCAAACCTGATCAAGCTCATAAAAACAGACCAAACGCAGAGCATAAAGAAACCTATTGAAGATAAAACATAATGCAAAGATAATAAAAAGACTCAACATTCACTAACCTCCATTACAGATATCCCGAAGTTGAAAGTGAAAGGTGAAGAAGCAACGTGAAAGACAGACCTGGACAAATGGGTTTCATTGTTATGCCATGATTTACATCTGTCACAATCTTTACACTCAAACATGGACACAAACCAGAGCATCCAGAAACAAAACAAAACAAAAACAAAATAAAACAGTAACTCACTTGGTTAAAAGAAAGACAAGCTTGGAGTATTGTTGGTGAATTTGCAAGGCTTTAAGAGAGGGAAATAAGACTATAAGAGAAGGCAACAGTGTTGTATAAAAGGGCGCTACAGATACAGATTTTTGCGAGACAGCAAACTGAAGACAAACCTTCCCATGAAAATTATTTCAAGAATCTTTACTGTATATTACTTAAACTACATGTGTAACTTCAATATATCACTCAGATCTCATTTTTTTCATGGTTATATGTTATCAAATATTTTTATTATATATAGGGTGAAGAGCTGGACTGTATTTTAGTAATGCGTTAAAATATAAATTAAATTAAAATCTATTATTATGGAGGTGAATTAGTAGAAAATTATGTATAGGTGATTTATTATAATGCTAATAGGGGGATTTTAAAGGTTTTTTTTTTAATCAAAAAAAAAAAAAAAAAAGATAATAAATTTATATTGTTTGTTTCTTCAATTCTAAAATATGGACGCATACTTTAAAAATTTGTTTTAATCATGTTATAAACTAAATGCAAGACATTTGCCCTTGCATAGATAATCTTGGATCCCAAATAATAATCCATAATATGCTAGAGAATTCAAATAAAACTTTTTTTTTTTTTTTATGATCGAAGGTTTCCAGTAAGCTTACGCAATCCTAACCTAATTCCCTGGACTTGAAACTATTTGCCGTTAAGAGCTAATAGCTACCCCATTAGCAACGATGAGAGATTCAAACTCAACACTTGAGTAATACACTCAAGAGTCTCTATCAAACCACTCGCTGACTGCCAAAAGTTGTTCAAATAAAACACTACTACTTTTTGATCCACCCCTACGTAAATGTTCTCTCAATTTTTTAAACACACTAGTGTGGACTTACTATATCACGACATTCTGAACTTAACTCACGTAACACTTTAGTAGGCGAATATGTACCCATTGGAACATGCTACAACCCTAGATGACAAAATATACACTGAAGTTTCAAACTTTCCCATAAGTGAACTCTTAAGAAGATTAATTGTTATTTTTAGAGTAACTTTTATCCATTGATCGAAAACCCTTTCATTGTATTGTCGAATCCTAAGTTGACTTTCGTTCTTACACAGAAGTTAGCTTCCTAGTCAAGCTCCCTCTCTCTTTGAACTCTTTCACTCGGCCTCATAAGAGTAAACAACTTTTCCCACCCAAATAATGACTTAATCTTTTCTCACCCACAACTTTTAAAATATCACTTTATACCCAAATTTGTTCCTTTTTTTACTCCGGATCGTTGCAACCCCACACCACCACCTCATTTCTGTCCGATCATCACTACAAACCCTTCAAACCCTAGTCTTGCCGACCTTGCCAACTCGGCAATCAACGATTAGGGTTTGCGCAACTACCCTCTAATTCAAATTTCGATCAATTTTAACTACTAAAATCAACCTTCCACCCAAAAGACTCATCGACCTCTCCTCTTCAAAGACCCAATAGTTTGGACCTTTGCTTTCTATTTCCTCAAAATATAAATTTGGATAATAAATGATATTTTAAAAGTCTGTAATAGAAAAATTCATTAAACCATTTTTGGGGTGGGAAAAAGTTGTTAACCTCATCTCTATAACCTTACACCTCAAGTTATCTTTTGAGAGGTCTACAATCTAACCACATAAAAGCCGTCTACCCTAAACTATCCCTTACCCTGTAGACCTTAATACAATGATAGATTTTAGCTAAAAAAGAATTAAACAACATGTTGAGGTTTTTATAGAAATCATCATTTCATATTTGATTAAATTTAATTATGGATCATCTTTTTGGGTATTAATAGGGAGCTACCCACTAATATAACCCTAAACATATAACTTCTTGTAGAAAAAAAAAAAAAATCCTAAAAAAAATATATAATCAAGTCTACTTGCAAGGATATATATAAAATAACATTATCAACTAATTGAATTTTCACATTGAAATTCAAAACAAAAATAATTTAAAATTTAAATCTCTCAACTTGAAATAAGATTAAAAAACAAAAGAACTTTTAGATCACAAAAAAAAAAAAAAAAAAAAAAAGTCATAAAGATGAATAAGGTTATAGTACCGGAACAAGGAGCCTACAAGCTGATATAAAACTATACTTAAAAAATACTAACATTAAGTAGGATTTTGTACATCTTTTTTAGAGTTAACACTTTTTTTCCACTTAAATAATGGCTTAATGACACTTTTTCACCCACAAACTTTTAAAATATATTTTATTACCAAATTCATATCCTGCGGTGTTGAAGAGGGGAGGCTGATAGTCTTTTGGTGGTAAGGTTGATTTTGTGGTTGGGATTGATTGGAATTTACTTGAGGCACGGTTGCACAAAACGTTTTGGTGAGTGATGATTGGGAAAAGAATGGTGTTGTGGGGTTGCAACGTGTCAAAATCAGAAACGAAGATAAATTGGGTAGTAAAGTGTATTTTAAAAGTTTGTGTGTATAAAGTATCATTAAACCATTATTTGAGTGGGAAAAGTCGTTTGCTCATCTTTTTTTATGTTTTTTTGAATTTTATATCAAATTAGGGATGTGATAAATTACAATTGTTTTTGAGAAAGAATGACAATTTCCCACCCAAGGTTGGGTGTAATTAATTTTGCCCCTAAAACTTTAAGAAAAACAAATTTCCACACATCGTTTAACCTTTAACGAAGAAGTACAAGATGTAAATTCAATGGAGCCGAAAATCAACGATTTAAAAATCTCTCTGGCCACACTTCATATCCCAACTCAGTCTTCCTCTTCTTCTCACACCTCAATCGCTTCCTTAAGTAAGCTCTATTTGGGCTCCTAGCATGAGTCACTTTCTTCTCATCAATGTTGCTAAGATCTTCAATCTCATCCCAACCAAGCACCGTATTTTGTTAAACAAGCTCCCAATCCTCATTCAAATAATCATTTAAATCATCATCTTCCACACAATATGTATTTACTCTCCTTGAATCACACGAACATGAGCATCAAAAAACTATAGGTTTACGTTGCCAATATATTATTCTATTTAGTATTATAATAGATGCTTGGATTTGTGATC